CCACTGATAATGTCGTCCTCCTACATCTCGACATCTAGAAATTATGTTGGTAACCGCTACCAACAACGACATACGAGGCTAGATCTAAGACTCCGGCGAGCGGTGACGGCAAATTCACAAGCTCCGGCGAGCGATGTGTCCAGATCTACCATCTCCGGCGAGCATCGCCGTCTGGTGGCTTGCTACCGGAATAGACTTTCCTCCTTTATTCACCGGTCGTTCGTGACTAACCGATCGCTGAAGAAGATGTAACTTCAGAGCTTCTTTGTTGCAAGAGCGGGATGATTTTCAGTTTTGCTTACCAGTGTTTTCTTTTAACAAGATAGCAAAGGAACGACTTCAATTTTTGGAGAAACGTAAAGGTAATATCCTATTGTGTAATAATGTCAGCTTTACTGTGCATCTCTAAAGAGCTTCATATATATTTTTTCTTTCTATTTCTATAGCTAGGCCTAGTACGTAGTACCTATCATATGAAAGTCTTGTTCATACTTTCTGATTATATAAATTTGATATGCGATTTTCCTGTGCATTTGCTTTGGCTTTTTATTTACTTTTTAAATTTTAGTTATATATAAGTTTTATGAATTTCTTATTTCATAAAAAATGTAGTTAAATCTTAAAATTTTGAATTAGTAGTTTTGAGTTTTGTTATTTAAGATTATATAACTATATTATAAAGTAAGCCCCTCTATTCTAAAAGTTTTACTTTGGTTTTGATATTATTTATTAAAAAAAAGTTTTCTTTTTATCGTTTTTTCTTTTGTTAAGATGAATTTATTGTTTAAATATCTTATTTTTTGTTTGTTATTGTTAATCTCAGTTTTAACTTTGAAGTGCTATTAAATTGTGAATCCATGTTTCTTTTTCTAATTTGTTATACTATTTGCATAAAAATATTATTCAAAGTTTATGTTTTATGGTTGTTATTCTGTGAATTTAATTTAGAATGTGTGTTATTATTTTAGTTTCTTCTAAAAAAAATGTGATTTTTTTAAGTTGTTAATTTAGTTATGAATGCGTAGTTGTTTGTTTATTAAACTGTGATTTATTGTATTAAGTTGTGATATTTGTGTTTTAAGTAGTTACATTTGTGTTTTATTGTAGTTCCACCTTAGATACGCTCCAACACCTTCACCTCCTCCATCTCTTTCTCTCTAACCTCTAATGAAACACATAAGGTATGTCAATTTTTTATTTTTATTTTTTTTTCTTCTGTTAAGTTGTGAATTTAATATTTTTGTTAATCATAGTTTGTTATGTTGTTAATTTGTGGATCCATGCTTTTTTTCTTATTTGTTATAACATATGCATCAAATTTTTATTCATAGTTTATGTTTGATGGTTGTTATACTGTGAATAAAAAATAGAATATGTGTTATTATGTTAATGTTTTCTCAAATAATATGAATTTTTTTAAGATGTGAATTATGATTTTTAATGTTTCAACTATTGTTTAGTTATATTAAAGTTATTTTTAACTATGAATGAGTGAATTGATATGGTTTTAAGTAGTGAATACTATGAAAGAGAGTCCTAAACTGTTTTTTTTAAACTATGAATGAGAGTCCTAAAATGTTCTATTAAACTGTGAATTTGTTTGGTGCACACAAGATATTTGATGAAATGCTTCAGCAAAATCGATTATGTTTGAAGTTGTAAATATTGTGAATGAGAGACATAAACTACCTTATTAAATTGTGAATTAAAGTCTAGACATGTAAGTTTTAACCTGAGAATATGATTGTGAAGTATAATTTTTTCGTATTAAAATTTGAAATTATTATATTAAGCTGTGATTTTTTTATTAAACAATGATTTGATTGTATTAATTTGTAAATGAATTGTATTAAACAGTGAATTGACTTTATTAAGCTGTGAATTGACTTTATTAAGCTGTGAATTAATTGTATTAAGCTATGAATTTTTTATAATTCCTTGTAGCCTTCTAAAATATGAGATAAAAGTACTATTATATATAGATCTCGTTTAATCTAATTTTGAATAAAGCATTTAAAATTGAAGTCGTGAAAATTTTTGTAAATAAGAATATATGTAAGTTTTAAGTTGAGAACATGGTTGGAAATTTATAATTTTTGTGCATTAAACTGTTAATTTTTATACTTAGCTGTGAGTTTTATGTACTAAACTATGAATTGATTTTATTAAGCTGTGAATTTTTAATGAATTATGGGGTAAAATATGACTGATTTATGTACAAATGTTTGTTTTAATTTGTTTGTAAATATATTTATTTTTTGTGTTATATAAATATGAAAGACTATATTAGTTTTTATAATTATTTTGCATTAAATTCAAGATGAGTGAATTAGTAGGTTTTATTAGACTGTGACTGTAGTATTTAAGTTGTTAATGCATGACTTTATTTACAGATCTGATTTGGAAGAAATGATGGTTGCGATGTTGCTATATGATTTCTGCCACCATAAATGTCCATACCTGTGGTTCATTTTCATCAAGTTTCAGATCTGGTGAAAAATGTGCAACTTGTCTCCATCTTTGCCTCTCTGATCTCTCGTAAAACATCACCAGATCTGCATCAGGTATGGTAATTTTTGTGTTGGTTCTTTTTCCTTTTGTTAAGCTGTGAGTGTAATGTTTTAATCTCTCTTTTTTGTTTACTTTTCTTAATATTAGTTTTAACTACTATTAAGCTGTGAATAAATGTTTGTTTTCTTATTTGTAATGATTTTTCCATATAATTGTTGTTCATAGCTTAGGTTTTTTAGTTGTTATGCTATGAATTGAATTTAGAATGTGTTATAATGCTAGTGCTTTTAAAAAATAATGTAAATCCAGATTTTTTTAAGTTGCGAATTATGATGTTTAAATGTTTTACTAATTGTTTAGTCCTGTTACTGTTGGTTTTAACTGTTATGAATAAAGAAATATTTGTTTTATGATGTGAATACATGATTTTAAAAAGTTTTAAGCTGTGAATGCATGTTTGATATTTATTTTTCTACTTACATTTGTTATAGATCTCTATGATGCACTTTTTTTTATCATTTTTTCTTTTGTTAACCTGTGAATTTAATGTTTTTATTTATCATTTGTTATTGATCTACTACCTAACACCAAACCTTCATCAAATCTGATGTGTACGATACATTTCATGTATGGATCTGGTGTATCTAGTGCATTTCATGTTGGCTTGCATCAAATCTGATTTTTGAAGATAAATCTTAAAAAAAAAAATCAGGTATGTCAATTTTTATAAATAAATCTCCTTTAAGTTTTGTTTTCTACTTGCATCTATTGTATATCTCTATGATATAGTTTTTTTTGTTTGTTTTTTCTGTTAAAGTGTGAATTTGATGTCTTAATCTCTCATTTGTCGTATAATTTTGTTAATATTAGTTTTAACTGCTATTAAGTTGTGAATGTATAATTGTTTTTGAATTAAACTTAGAATTTATTAAATTAGTTTGTGAATTTTCTATATTAGATTGTGTATTAATTGTAATAAGTGTTTTAAGTTGATAATATGGATGTGAATACTACTTTTTGTGTATTAAAATGTGAATTTAGTGTACTAAGCTGTGATTTTTGTGTTTTAAACTTTGAATTGATTGCATTAAGCTTTGAATTTTCTTTTTAAGCTACGAATTAACTGCATTAAGTTGTGAATTTTCTGTTTGAACTGTAAATTGACTAGATTAAACTGTGAATTATGTGTATGAAGCTATGAAGTTACTTGTATTAAGTTAAGCTATGAATTTTGTATATAAACTTTGAATTGACTATATAAAGGGTGTTAAGTTGAAAATATGGTTGTGAATGCTTACTTTTTGTGCATTAAACTTTGAATTTTGTGTACTGAACTGTGATTTTTGTGTTTTAAACTGTGAATTAACTGCATTAAACAGTGAATTTTCTTCCTATACTATAAATTGACTATATTAAGCTGTGAATTTTGTGTATTAAATTATGAATTGATTGTATTAAGCCGTGAATGAATTTACATTAAATTGCGATTATTTTATTATTATTTTTTTTGCTTTTGAAATATTGTAAATTTTATTCACGACTTAATATATTAAATTCACAATTTAAAATATGAATGATTTATGTATAAATTTTTTTGTTAATTTTTTTCCTGAATATATTTATTTTTTGTGTTGTATAAGTATGTAAGAATACATTAGTTTTAATAATAGTTTTGCATTAAATTCAAAATGAATGAAATAAATGGTTTTATTAGACTGTGAATGTAGTATTTAAGTTATTAATGCATGACATTATTTACAGATCTGATTTAGAAGAAAATGATGGTTGCGATGTTGGTACAAGTGGTTAGTGGCAGCGTGTGGTGGTGGTAGTAGTAGATTTTGAATTTTTGATTTATTTGAATTTGTGAATTATTGTAAAATGGTTTGTATTAAGTTGTGAATTTTGTGAATTAAACTATAAATGGACTGTATAAACTTGTAATTTATATAAGTTTTGTGTTCAAATATGAGAACATTTAAGAATGAAAATATTATACTGCAAAAATTACCATTTTGCCCTTTTCTATCAAAAAGAGAAAAAAAAATAGGATTTTCACATGTTTAATAAGAATATCATGTAAATATTTACTAACTAATGGGGGTTCTTACGGTTCTTAATCTTTTGTGGTTCTCATTTGAACCACTCCCTATATATATATATATATATATATATATATATATATTATATATATATATATATATATAATTTTTTTTAAAAAGTTATTGAAATATATAGTATGTATAAGTAACTATCGGTTATAATTTATTGTTTTGTCCTATTGAAGTTATGTGATCCAGCGGTATAAGTGATCAATAATGTATTCTTGATTCCCAATAAGGACGAAAAGTATAGATTTTAGAATAATGTAATAAATTTATGAATTAACTGTTTAATAAAATAAAATGAAAATTTATTTGGAAATTCGTTCACACGGCTTTTGCAATCCACTTAAATCCTTGTGGACCCAAAGCCCTTTATCGTGGACCCAACGACTTTTTATCGTGGACCAAAAGAGTTTTTCTCTACAAGGCTAACACACACATATATATGTTTCTATGCATCTCACCGGCTCTTTCGTAGACAGTATTAGAAAGCTGGTGCGGTGGCTCTGTGGCAGTGATGTCCTTATGGTATTGAGAAGCTATTTTTTTTTTTTTGCAGTGGAAGTTTGATGCTCAGTTACTCCGTAAGTTTATAATCCTCATATTCATCGTGGATACAAATTGTTTTTATTTTTTCTGATGTAGGAAAATATGTGCTACTCTGTGTGTGGTATTTGCTAATTTCAAAAAATTTCTCTATCAGGTATTCTAGAATTTTGAAGAACCAATGGCTTACAAGCGGCAAAAACTTATAGCTGGTAATCAAAGTGGGCCGGACGTTATGCTATGTGACGTAGACGTAGTACCTTCATCTGTTGTTGAGATTGCTCCTATTCTTCGTGCTGCAGATGAAATTGAATCAGAAAATCCAAGGGTTGCCTACCTATGTAAGTCCCCAATATATATTAATAACATAAAGTGCTGCAGAATATATGTATACGTGTATGTATTTATTCATGTAGGTGTATAAATATAGACACAAAAAAAAAAAAAAAAATTAAATTTGAGTCACGTAAAGATTCTAGACAAAGACTGGATCAACAGGCAATTAACTAGGAAAAAGGAAAAAATATATTATGACTCCAATTCCCAATATGGCCAAGTTTGTCAACCCAAACTGAAGGGAGGAACATATTGTTGTAAATCAGTGGCGAAGCTTGAACAATTAACTAGGGGGCCGAAAGTATTATAAATTGAAATTAACGTTCTTAAAAAAAAAACAAATTGTTTTGAACAAATAAACACCAAAAACACCTAGAAAAAGAATTACAACTCAGCCCGACGACCTTTAATGTCTTTAAATTCATCAATTACAGACTTCGAATCAATGTTTTCAGCAATTTCTCTTTCTATGTAAATCACCAAGTTGTTTGCGAGAAAATCATCCGACATCTTATTGCGAAGACGGTTCTTGAATATTTTCATTGCTGAAAATCCCCTCTCTGTTGTTGCGGTAGAAACCGGAAGTGTCAAGATTAACCGAACCACTCTATCAAGCAAATAGTATGTCTCACGTTTCTGAGTTTCCACAAGACGCTTGCATAGGTCAGTAATAGTTGATACACCACTTAGTCTAGGATTCTTTGTGATATCAATATTAAAAATCTCCAATTGATATCGTAATTGAATCCTCTCTTGCTCCGTAAAATCTTCAGGATAATACTTCTCAGCAAGAAGACAAATTTGATCAACGTTAATCACTTTAGAAACTAAACTAGAACTAGAAACAACATTTCTATGTTGTGAGCAACCAATATGTTTCAAGAACGCACAATGTTTCCCGTCATTAACTTTTTTCCAATTGTCAAATCTTTTAACAGTAAATGCATCGTAACCATGACACACACTTGGTTTATCATTATATATATAACAAATAAAACAATAAGAAGCGTGTGTTGTTGGAGAATATTCTAGCCAATTAGGGAAAATGTTGAACCAAGAATATTTGAATCTACGAGGATGTTTTGTTGAACCTTTAGCTTGATACTCCTTAAGATGTATTTGGAAAGGTCCTAAATTCAGATAAGCTCGTCTCACTTGCTCTCTTAAATTAACCGGATAATCCCACATTTGCTTTCGTTTAGCGGGATCTCTTTCTAGATTCTTCAAATCAACTTCATTAGGATTTTCCTTTTCTTGTGGTTGTGGCTCATTCTCTTGTTGTTTATCCTTTTCTTGCGGTTGTGGCTCATTCTCTTGTTGATTTTCCGTTTCTTGTGGTTGTGGCTCACTTGTTGAAGCTTTGTGACGTTTACTCTCTTCACTTTCATGATTAGTTTCTTTATCATCTGCCTTTCTTTTGTAAAAATAGTCTAAGGTTTTCATCTTTCCCATGATTATATCTATAAAAATCAAAATGAAGGAACAAATGATTCAATCAAAATCAAAATTAGAACAATAACCAATAACTCATTTAACAATTATCAGTGTGTGAAAATTGAAAAGTAAAACCAAATCAAATTGACAAATTGACAGCCAAATCAAATTGACAAATTAACAACCAAATCAATTTTATAAAAATAGTCTAAGGTTTTCATCCATCTTTGTTTTCAGTTAATCAGTTTTGTTTGAAGCATAACAAAATCAATTTTTTTTTCTATTCCATACTTCCAGTTTGGTGTCCACTGTCTAGAATAAATATACTAGAAGGCAACAGCAGCAACAATGCAAACAGGAGGCAACAACAGCAACAGTGCAAACAGGAGAAATTCTAGAATCCTACTATCCTAATTCCTACACCAAATCAGATAAACCAAATTGACAAATTGATAGGAGAAATTCTAACCCCTAATTTGGAGTTTGGACCGAGAGATTGAGAGAAAAGAGGAGTAACTCGCAAACAGGCAACAACAGCAACAGTGCAGGCGTGCAGCACAACATTCAATCAGAATTCAGAACAAAGAGCAAGTAAACTGGAAAAGAAAGAACAAGATTCGGGATTTCATTATTTCATACCTGATTTTTGGTGCGATGGGCGATAGCGAGAGTGAGAGTGTGAGACCAACAACAGCGACAACAAGCAGCGATTCAGCGACAGCAGCGACAGCAATCAGCAGCAACGATTCAACCAAATTGGGGAAGAACCGAAGAACCGAACGTGATTTCTGGAGTCTGATTTCTGTGATTTGGTCGGACTATGCTTGCTTGGAGTCTGATTCGGGAGGGGCCAAAGCCCAAGTTTGAAGATAAAGGGCCTTGTAATTAATTTTTTTGAAGTATATTTCTTATTTCTAGCCCAAAAATCAGGGGGGGGGGCCACTGCCCCTCCTGGCCCCATACATACTTCGCCACTGTTGTAAATGACATGTTTGTAGGGAGAAATGTTGATTTGAGTTGGTAAATTGTTTGATAACCGATAATAATTGTATTTTTTATTTTTGAAACGGCAAACTATCATATTCCTAATCTAATCCTAAACACCGGTTATATCAATTGAGAGAGTCACTCCTTAAGACTGTGATAGCATTGAAGGGTCTACAAAAAGTGGCCAGTCTCCTAAAGACTAAATGAACCTTATTATTAGCCCAAGACATTTCAACAAGAAATCAAATAATTTGTGGGATATCACCCCTCTTTTCCTTGTAAAAATAGATGAAGAAAGATCTTTACCATAAGAAAGTAAGGTTTCAAAAATTTCCTTATCATTATGGTGGCTGATAGTTGTTTTGGCAACGAGTGCAAATCTGCCAAAGGCAGAGCTCCTATTTTATCAAATAAATATTTTAGAACATATAGGAGTGATTATATAGTGGAAAAAGTATATCACTGAAGCATAACTTTCTGTATACTTAAATGTTGTGTGGTCTCTATTTGTTTACTAACATGCAGTGGCATCATGAAACTTTTTTTATACATAATCAGGTCGGTTCTATGCCTTTGAGAAAGCTCACATACTTGATCCATCATCAAATGGTGTTGGTGTTTGTCTATTTAAGACTGCCCTAATTCGTCGCCTAGAAAAGGTATGTGTTCTCTTAAAGTATTTTGAGTAATTTTTCTGCCTTAACTATTTCCGAGCAATTTGAAACACACCAACACTTTGATGGTGAGAATTGTTGAGCAAATTTTGAGTAATTGCTTCATGTTAAAATCTTTATCTAGATCAACAAAGGAAATAAGTTTGATAACGAAAAGTTCAATAGATCTTACTTGATTCATAGAATCAAAGAGTTAAGATGTTTGAAGTTCTTTTACAAGAAAATTCCTTGGGCCATTAACCCAAGTAGCAAATTGCATTTATATTTCCACTCACAGGTTACATGGACAAAAGTATTCTACACATTTAACTAACACAAGTTCCAAAGATAAGGAAAGTTTAGCAACCGAGGAAATGTAGTGTGGGAGGTCTATTCTGCATGTAAACTAACAAGACATAGAACGACTAGGGTTTCATATTATTATCAAATGAGAATTACAAAATACAATGAAAACAAAAGACATAATATATAGACTAGCTAATTATGGTTTTTTAGCTAATGGGCCAATATAAAACCTAATACAAAATAAAGCCCAAAATCTTATTAAGCTAACATCCCCCTCAAATTCACAATGCAACATCAATAAGCATTGAGAGATTGTCACATAGAAAATGAAATCGAGGAGCAGTCACAGGCTTCGTAAGAATATCAACAATCTGCAAGGTGGAAGGAACATAAGGGAGGGAGATAGTGCCCTTTTGGAGATGATGTCGTGTGAAATGGAAATCAATCTCAATGTTTTTTGTGCGCTCATGAAACAGTGAATTCTTGGCAATCATTATCGCACTCTCGTTGTCACAATATAAAAGGGTAGGCTGAGAGATGTGAACATCCATATCTGCAAGAAGCCATCTCAACCAAACAATTTCACAAGTGGCGATAGCCATGGCTCAATACTCAGATGCTATAGAAGAACGAGAGACAACATCTTTTTTCGTACTCTTCCATGATATCAATGAATCTCAAAGAAAAACACAATGCCCAATAGTGGACTTACGTTCATAAATATCACTATCCCAATTAGCATCACTATAAGCATGCAGCTCATGAGAGGATGTACATGGAAACACAAGGGTGCGGAACTGAGTACCATGAAGATATCTCAAATACGAAGAACAATTCCCTAATGAACCGTAGAAGGGGCATTGACAAACTGGGTAACCACATGAACTGCATGAGCAATATCTGGTCTAGTGATAGTCAGGTAAACAAAACTCCCTACAATGGTACGATAAAGACTTCGATCTGATAGGGAACACCATTAGTTGGAGAATACTTTGCATTAATCTATATAGGTGTATCAATTGTCCGATTATCTGTGAGTCATGTTCGTTCAAACAAATATTAAATATACTACGTTTGAGATAAAATATAACCCTTTGGAGATTCAACAACTTCAATCCCTAAGAAATAACGTAGCACACCCAAGTCTTTCATAGAAAACGGTGAGCCAAATCATGTTTTAAAGACTCTATACCATCATGATCATCACCGGTAATAATCATGTTATCGACATATAAGGAAAGAATAATCTGACCTGTGCTCGTACATCGGACAAATAGAGACGAGTCATGGTTACATGGTTTAAAACCAAGCGAAGTAATCACCGTAGAAAATTTCTCAAACCAAGCATGAGGGGATTGTTTGAGGCCATATGGTGCCTTCCGAAGTTAAGAAACTTCACCTGGTTGGTAAGCAATAGCAGGTGGAGGAGAAATGTGTACTTACTCATGAAGATCACCATTCAAGAACGCATTCTTGACTTCCAGCTGATAAATCTTCCATTGACGAATGGAAGAAATTGCAAACAATGTGCAAAAAATCATCGTTTTTGCAACAGGAGCAAAAGTCTCCTCATAATCCATACCATACTTTTATGAGTACCCTTTCGCCACAAGTCTGGCTTTATAACGCTCAACGGATCCATCAGACTTTATTTCGATTTTATATACCTAACGAAAACCAATTGTGTGCTTTTGAAGCGGAAGAGGAACCAGATCCTGCGTATGAGTCTGATAATGAGCTGCAAGTTTCTCAACCAGAGCCGTCTGCCAAAGAGGATCAGAAATGGCCTATTTATAGGATGTTGGGTCAGAGAGACGATGTACATTAGCAATAAATGAGGCAAATAGTGGTGAGTAAGAGGAAAAGACAAATTCAGGAAGCTTTGTGGACTTCTTATTACGATAAGGCCTCAATGGTGGAGGATCTTGATGATATGCAAGCAGAGGATCAGCGACAAATGGTGGATCAGTAGTAGCAAGTAGTAGCAGGTGGTTGATTAGCAAAAGGTGGTGTATTAGGAACAGGTGGTGGATCATCAATGTCAATGTTAAACGGATCAATAGTACGAAGCTCCTCTCGGGTTGCATCATATAACTAAACAGGAATGCTATAGAACAAAATGTGCTCCAAAAAAGTGACATTACGAGAGACATACAACTTTTGATTTGATGGATCATAACACCGATAACCTTTCTGACCAATACAGTATCCCAGAAATACACAAAGGGCTGATTTTGAGGACAACTTATCTCTCTACATGAGGCTTCACATAATATAGGTACACCCAAAAATTTGTAAGGAAGAATAATTTGGAAGCTGGCCAAACAACATTTCATAAGGAGACTTCCCCAAAGTGTGCGCAATAGGAATGCGATTAATAACATAAGTGGCGATATGAACAACTTCTCCCCAAAACATATTGGGAACTTGAGCAGAAAGTAGCAAGCATCTTGCAGCTTCTAGGAGATGTCGATGTTTCCTTTCTGCAACACCATTTACTGGGGGTGTTTGTACAGAATGGCCGATTCACAATGTGATCAGATGCCAATAACTGTTTAAAATCATTGGAGGTAAATTCCCCTCCTAAATCACATTGAAAACATTTTATGACAGCAGAGTGTTGAGTCTTGAAAAGAGCTCTGAAGTCACTATATATGGTGAAAAAGTCAGACTTGCACTTCATAAAGTAAATCCACGTGTAGCAAGTCTAAGCATCCAAGGCTGATGGTGGTGTAGAGTTTGTCTCATTCATAACTAAATGTGCAACAACAACATACTATGGTGGCCTAAAAGATGGAAACGAGGGACGTGACTGGGACTGTCTAGAAGACATGTTCTACTGTGAAGACTAAGACTGTGCTGGTGATCTCTTTTGTTGTTGTTGCTGATTTCCCTTACTTGTCAGGAAATGACAATTTGCTTTCGAATGGTTCTTCTTCTTACAGAAAGCACACTCATCAAATGCAACTTTAGGGCGATTCTGGTTTGAAGACTAAGGTCGTTGTGAAACCAAAAGGACAACATGAGTGGCTATCTTGGGACCTTTTTCACCATGGGACTTGATACGGGTTTTTTCAACAATCACCTCGTGAACAACCGAATTAACAATGGGAAGAGATGTGTGATGCAAGATTGATCCATGCAAGCCTTCAAAATCTGACCGTAATGCCATCAAGAACTGAACCAAACATTGCTCTTCCCTTCTATCAATATAAGGATTAAAAGCCTTCAACACATTAGGTTCGGTAAGAGCCAATTGATCCGACAAATCCGACATAGTTGCATAAAATTCCTAAACACTGAGATTGTTCTGTTGGAGGGCTCAAATATCAAACTCTAACTGAAACTGCTTTGCAAAGTTAGACTGAGTATACAACCTAGCCAAGTGATCTCAAACCTCCATTGTTGTGTCATACTTCGTCAACTGATTACTAATAAACTGGATAACAAAATTATTAATCGAAGTAATGATCTTGGAGTTATCAGTCTCCCATGAATCCAGTAAGGCTGAATAGTTTGCAGCCTTTTCATCTGTTGGTTTCTTCGTGTCACCCGTAACAATCCCCCACATAGTCTTGCCTCACAAGCAATTCTTCATAACATAACTCCAATAGGCATAGTTGTTGTCATCATGTTGCATACTATTGGACCGAAGATAATCATCTCTCGGGGCCATATTTCAATATCAGTCAAACGAGAATAACCAAAACAGCAGTAAATACAAATAACATCAGCAACAATCAATAACTCGAAATCAACAAAACAAACAGACGAAGCGACCCTCGAAATCGACAAAACGAACAAATCAAATTAAACGGAATACATAAACGAGTAAGAAAACCATACACATTTGCCCCCCAAAATAAAAATAAAGATGATCAAACGAACTCTGATACCATGTAAACTAACAAGACATAGAATGGCTAGGGTTCCGTACTATTATCATATAAGAAGTACAAAATACAATGAAAGAAAAAGACATAATATATAGACTAGCTAATTAAGGTTTTCTAGCTAATAGGCTAATATAAAACCTAATACAAAATAAAGCACAAAATCTTATTACGTAAACACTGCGAAACAAAATTTCTAGCACTTCCGTTTAGCTCCTTCTACCAGGATAAATATAAACTTATGACATGAAATTCTGTTCCATAAGCATCAACAGAAAAAAGTTTCTGAGGTGGAACATATATAGTGTGGGTAGTCTATTGCACATAGTCCTCAACCCTTTTCAACCAACTGAACTTTCAGTCATGCCTAAAATGTGTTGAAACTTTTTGTTTCTTGTAGCTTCCATGGGCGGCTGGACCAGGGTTTTTGTCTTTATATGCTGATAAAGTTGAATCGAGCAACCCAAGGGCTGCCTACCTTTGTAAGTCCCTATTTCTGTTTGTAGCTGTTTGTTTTGTGTGTGGTTGTACGTAGGATGAATGGGTTTGACAACCTTTTGTTATTGCTTTGGTATAAGCTATTTTGACCGTGTTTCCATGTTATCATTTGAGAAAAATTCGTTTTATATTTCATTTTATTTGTAGTGGTGTAAGGTGTAGAAATATCATCATGTCACTATTGTGGTTAGTATGAAAATTAGGAATGGTGGAATACAAAAACATTAAGTTGGGCATCGTTGTTGGTATGTCTTATCATGCTTGAAGCCTTTATTGTATCATGTATTGTTGATTATCCTTACTGAGTTATGTCATAAAGGTCTACATCATGTCTTAGCTTCAAATAAAACCAATCCTTTTGAATTGATGATCATACACAGAGAGAAACTAATTTGAATAGCATTTTCCATGAGTTACCTTGTTGCAAAATTTTATAGAAACCATACTTTCTAGAGTGAAAGGCTATGAGAGTTATTCTTTATGAGGGCATAAGTAATAATTTAATGTAAAAAAATGTACTCTATATGTGTGTATAGAATCTGTACATATATTTTTTAATTTGCGTCAAATAAAAGTTATACAGAGGAATATTCAACAGGGAAGGCTTACTCAGTTTGTAATTAGGAAAATGGAAAACATTTTCTGGCTCCAATTCCAAATCAAGCATCATCAAGTTTCTGAAGCCCAAATCAAAAGGAGGAATGCATTCATGTAAATGAAAATTTGAAATTATCAATCAGGAGCATGATGAGGTGTTTTGATAAATTGTATGACAATCAGTGTTAATTTTATAAAGGCTATGTCGGGCGCTTCCATGCATTGGAGTGTGTATTAAATGTGAGTGCCTACTTTCTTAAGGAATAACTTAACTTAATTTAGGTAAACTATTTCATCAGGTCGAGTATATGCCCTTCAGAAAGCTCACAGAAGAGATCCACTATCAAGTGGTGGTGGTAGTGTTCATCAATTCAAAACTGCCCTGATTCGTGGGCTCAAAAAGGTGCATCCTTTATTCCCTTTCCATATTTTGTGCTCTGATTATTCGCTACACACTTTTTCTTGTTCTTGAGCTGAGCATTTCTGTGCAATTTTGTGTTCACTGTTTCTTTTTGGCATGTTTATTTAAAACAAAGAAGGAAAGAAGCTTGTTAGGGGAATAAAGTCTCATTCTGGACTACAATTTCATATCACAAAAGTGTTTCTTCCATTAATTGGAATCTTCGAAAAACGGTGTTGATGGATGTCAACATGGCCTTGCTTTCCTATGAAGTATTATATACTATAGATCTTTCTAAAACGTTTAATTGGTGCATTCCAAGAATGTTGAAATTTATGTCAGTCTTGTTCATCAATTGTTTTTCAATATTAGTTTTCCTTATGAAATTGAGCAAGTGCATTAATGGCGGCTGCATCATTTTTTACTTTAATTCCTAATATTATGAACTCCATCTTTGTATTCTATTCAGCAAGACGTAGAAGCAACAGGAAGACAAAGAAACAGTGATGCTAATGGAATGCATGCCTTTTATTGGCATTATTATGAAAACTACATTCAAAGATTGCAAAATGCTGACAATGTTGATCGGTAATCATCTTCTTGGTTGTCTTATTTTTATTTTGCCTTGTATTCCTGATTGCAGATATTTACTTCTAATGTCAGTACCCGTCTCACAAAAGCTTATCAAACTGAGGCTGTTCTGTTTGAGGTTTTGAGGGCTGTCTGTCTGGAACAATCTGTCGACGTGGAAGTTGAGGTAAATGCTGGATATCTCTCTTCCTTCTATAGATTCATTTGATGATTGCTTATATCTGGTGAATTGCTACTGTGTATATGTGTATAGATATTGAAAACACACACACAGCTTGCAGACATGTATACTCGCAGTATACTTTCGCTCGACCCTGAAAGTTCAGATCAAGACCTAGTAAAACGTTTAAATGTTAGCTCAAGAATTCGTGTCATGTCACGAATGAATCAGCCAAACAAACCCAAAATCCCCCTGGAGGCCGTAAAGAGTTGTACCCAAAACTTCAATGAAAGAAATGTCATCGGGAGAGGTGGATACGGAAGGGTCTACAAGGGAACCCTCTCCTGGGCTGATCATGTAAATCAGATAGTTGCTGTAAAACGTTTAGATGTCTACGGGTTACAAGGTAATAAGGAGTTCCACACCGAGCTCACGATGCTTTCACAGTATCAACACGATAACATTGTAAGACTTATAGGGTTTTGTGATGATAACAAGGAGATGATTCTTGTATATGAATACGCAAGACATGGAAGCCTCGACACATATTTACATGACACTTCTATTACAGTTGGATTGTCATGGCTACGACTCCTGAAAATATCCATTGATGTTGCTTCTGCAGTGGACTATCTTCACAATCACATAGCAGAAAAACACCGAATAATACATCGTGATATCAAAAGCGCCAACATTTTGTTGGTAGAGAATTGGAATGCAAAACTTGCTGATTTTGGGTTGTCTAGGATTGGTCTAGCAAATCAACAGAACACGTTTGTGATCACTAACCTTGCCGGCACACATGGCTATTGTGATCCACAATACGAAAAAACAGGTTTCTTGACGAAAGAGTCAGATGTCTTTTCCTTTGGTGTAGTTTTGTTTGAGGTTTTGTGTGGAAGGCTGGCGTGTGTTTCTAGTTACCATGACGAGCGCCGATTCCTCCATCATTTGGCCAGAACCTGCTACAAAAATGGAGAGCTAGAAAATATTATTGATAAGAGAATAAGCAAAGATATTAAACCACAAGCTTTGTTCAAGTATTCAGCCATTGCATATCAATGCTTGCAAGAAACTCGGGAAGACCGACCTACAATTTCTGAGGTTGTGTTGCAGCTAAAGGAGGCCATGAAAATTCAAGTAAGTTTGAAAACCATTTTTACCAATTCCATCGATATAGATATGTTTTTAAGATAAGGAGAAAAGATTATCTACATAAAATTACACTTGTTAATGACGGCTCATTTGTTTTAATTTATTGTTAGCTGCAAGATGAGATCTCTCCAAGATGAACCGGAAGATGAGATCCTCCCAGATGAATTAGAAGATTAGATCCTCCAAGGAACTAAACAACGAATACTTGGAAGATTAAAATCCAAAGTAAAACTTAGGTTTTGTGGTTTGCATAAAGAAACAACGAGACCACCATTCTCTATGATGAGTTGGACATCGGAGTACAAAGTAAAAAGAATTGATAAGATTAACAATTGCTTGTTTACATATTTAACAAAATTTATTAATTTTTTATTAGTTTGTTTTATACACTACAAGAAATCTCAGCTATAGTGGCGACAAATTGTCGTTTTCACCGCTAAAGCCTTTTAAGCCCAATCCATGTGATCGTTCAAGGAAGAACCTTATCCGCTGTTTAGATTTCTCAATCCAACGGCTGGCATCTCGTCTCGTACACCATCATTTGTGGCGATATCAATAGTGGTGACCTTGTTGCTGCTAATACCCAAAAAATAATAGACCACAAAAACTTTCTTCCATAATCAACTTCAAGCACCGCTAAAACCTAAGACCATTAGATCATATTCTCCCCTCTTTTACTGTATAAACAACTCCAGTCTCTCCATGATCCATCTCGGATGATCTAATCACCGACAATGACCACCGACGCCACAAGTCACCACACCAACCTGCCGCCGACCACTAGAACTTGTTTAACAACCACCGCCATGACTCACATGCATTATGGCACCATTATGAACTACATGCTATCTTTGGCGACGAAGGCAACCACCTTAGATTTCAATCAACATCACCGTGAACCACCTCCGGCCACAACCTACCACCTGCAACCTCTGCAACCTCTCTCTTATGTTCTTAGCTCTTCTTAATAGCTATTGAGTTGTCTTAATAAGATTAATTGGAATGTGCATATTCGGGAGATGTTTTTCATGTTAATATGCTATGAAAAGTCTTAATATTCTTGGAAAATGCTTAACGAAGAGTGACAATTGATTTGATGTGCTGCTTAGAAAGTGTTAAATGACTTGTTAAGGATTGAATTGATAAGCACTTAACTGTTAAGGACTTAATTATATTGTAAGATGCTTCAAAAGTTCTTAAAATGTTTGGGAAATGCTTAATGAAAGAGTTGTTATTGATTTGATGTGTTAACTAAACTGTCATGGAAACAATCATTGAAATTAGTTTATGACCTTTAGTGACGAGAAATATGAAAACCGATGTCATCCTATTTGTTGGATTAGGTGTCTAAGCCCATAACTATTTTGGTATGTACTTGACCCGATTATGAGCATGGTCCTTTTGGGTTGCCTTCACCATAGCAACTTGTAGGATGAATTATGAAGAAAGAGGATTAATTATGATTTATTAATATATTATGAGAATAATATATTAAGAGAAATCATATTATTTAATTAGTATTGATTAGAAATTAATTTGGAATTAATTTGGTGGTCAAAAGAGATTAAATAAAGAAAGGGGACTGATATTGCAAATCACTGATAGTTGTAATTGGGCCGATGGACTCCATAGAGTTGGAGTGGACGAAATTTATGGGGAAGCCCATAAGATTTCGTCCAATGCCTCTAAGGAAGGAGTCAATGAGCTGCTTAGGGCCTAAGCAGTCAGATTAGGGTTTCCTAGTTCAAAACCCTAATAACCTAAGTATAAAAGATACCCCTAAGACTCCAAAAACGTGGCTAATGATTTCCTAGAAGTTCCTGGACGTTTTTGGAGCTCTCTTCCTCTCTCTTGTTCATCTAGTTTCTTAGTGGTGTTTGTGACTCCATTAGAGGTGCAACACTTGAGGCACTAGGCTTTCATACGTCAATTACAAGAAGGATTCATCTTGTTATTACTACATAACAAGAAAGGTAATATCTAAACCCTAGTTTATATGTTAATTCGATTATTGTATGCTAGATCTTGGGTTCTTAAGTCTTGGATGAATTGCATGTACAATAGAGAAACCTAGATCCAAAGTTTTAGAGTTTTGCATGTGCACCATAGGATTGATGTATAACATAAAACCCATCATTATTTTCCAAAACCGTCACCAAAAGACAGGTTTGTATTAGTGTTATGGTAAAAATTTAAGAAACAAAAAGGTGAGGAGTTGACATCACATAAGTGAGGATTTATCTCACTCGGAGAAGTAGAAAAAAAAGCTTATGGAGAAAGGGAGACAAGTGCTTGATAAATAAAAGTTGAAGAAATAAATTTTGGTGAAAGAAGATAGATGAATTGAAGAGTTGAGCCGTGATTACTACCTAAATGTCGCGAAAAAGTGCCAAAACGAAGACATAACAATTACGGCAATAAATCTCACAACCTAATCATGTTGTAATTTTCTTTTGGTGATGGAACTCCTGGCATTCAAATAAAAACTTATGGTTTGACATCTCGATTATACCACATAAAGAACTTGAATAAAGAATGGAGAGTTAAAGATAAAGAAGAAAGCTTAAAAGCAGGAGAAGGAACGAGTGTTTAGTGTAAAAAAGAGTTGAATCCTTATTATTCATGCATATGTATATGAAGGTGGTGAAAAAAAAAATTGAAGTTATGCATAGCATCAACTAGCCTTCCGGTAGCTTAAAGTGAAGCTGAGGACTATAGAGAATGATATAGAGGTTATGTTGTTTGGACGGAAACAAAGTTTCGGTCAGCCTCCAAGTGGGAGATTGTTGAGATGTGATGTTTGATATGAAAATCAAGGTTCCAAGGATATAGGTTCTGAGAATAGAGGTTCCAAGGATAGAGGTTTCGAGAATAGAGGTTCCAAGGATATAGGTTTCTATAATAGAGGTTGCGGTTCAAAGAACATTTTTTGTTGTTTAGAGAACATAGATTACGATTCCAAGATTAAAGTTAAGATAATAGTGGTTCTGAGAACAGGGGTTGATGTTGAACAAAGGTCGCATGTAGTAGAAAAGTGAGGAGAAGTTTTGGCAGAAGAGAAATGTCTAGTCATCTAGTTTTTTGAAAACCAAGTTTTCCCATAGGCCCATATGTTTATTATATAAGAATTAGTTCAAACATTGTTAGAGGCATTATATATGTATCTTTTAGCACATTTTTATTACGATTATCTTACAAGGTTGTGGCAATTTCCCTTTTATATTTCGATAAAATGTGTATGTATTGTTTTATTTGTAGAATGCCCTGTACTTTTGATATGTTTCTGAGGGTAAATTGGACTGGGACGAGAATACTAAGATTTGAGGATGACCTTAAGGAAGCATAGGAGCATATCCGGAGTAGGGAATTACTTAATGAAGTTGGGGAGTGGATGAAAGTTGCTTTAACTGAAGAATTAAGTCCAAATTGTATGAAAAATGAGTTACACTATTTTGTTTCTACTTACATGATTGTTAAGTATCCCAATGGGCCATTATTTTGAGCTAAAAAGTCCTCGACAAATTTAGACAATCATGTTTCCATTTACACGATCATTTTTTTACTTTGCAGATATTTTATGACCTTAAAATCACCCACACATACCTTGATGATGTTACTTGACCATATTACACGATCGTGTTTTGCTTTACATACTCGTGTAAATCACCTCAGGTCTTAAAATGGAAACATAATTCATTTATTTAGATAGGCAAATCATTTTTATAAGTAACATGATCGTGTTTCCCACTACACGGTCATGTAAATCTCTGACTCCTTATCGGATGTTAATTGTTCCTATAAATACTACATATTTACCTTAGACGAATACCTAGTTACTACACACGAACGTTTAGCAAATTTCTAGCGATTTTTGACAAATATCAATGATTCATAGAACACAATTGACTTGTTGCTTTTGTTTAGTAAGATTTATTAATTGTACATTAATTTAATGATTTTGATTTTTTTTAACCATGTTAGGTTGTAAACCCTTAAATTTCAGTTTCACACAGCCACAACTAATTTAGTGTGTAATCATTAGGCTTGGTTTTTGAGTTGTGTTTCTGTCGCGTTTTATCTATTTTGTACTTAATTAATAAACTGTTTGATTTTTATTCGGTTCTTTTTGACCACTTGAATTAGGGTTTGATCATTTTAGTTACGGTTGTTAAAATCTAGGTTGAGGTAAATGCTGGATATCTCTCTTCCTTCAAGTGATTCATTTGATGATTGCTTATATCTAGTGAATTGTATATGTGTATAGATATTGAATGCACACACAGGTTGCAAACATGTATACTCGCAGTATACTTTCACTCGACCCTGATAGTTCAGATCAAGACCTGGTAAAACGTTTAAAGGTTAACTCAAGAAATCGTGTTATGTCCCGGATGAATCAGCCAAACAAACCTAAAATCCCCCTCAAGGACGTAAATAGTTGTACCCAAGACTTCAATGAAATAAATGTCATCAGGAGAGGTGCATACAGAGATGATCACGTAAACCAGGTAGTTGCGGTAAAACGTCTAGATGTCTCTGGGTTGCAAGGTAATAAGGAGTTCCACACCGAGCTCACGATGCTTTCACAGTGTCAACATGATAACATTATAACCCTTATGGGGGTTTTGTGATGATAACAAGGAGATGATTCTTGTATATGAATATGCAAGACTTGGAAGCTTCAACATATATTTACGTGACACTTCAACGGCAATTACACTGTCATGGCTATGTCTCTTGAAAATATGCATTGATGTTGTTTCTGCATTGGACTCTCTTCACAATCGCATAGCAGAGACACACCGACTAATACATCATTATATCAAAAGTGCCAACATTTTGTTGGCAGAGAATTGGAACGGAAAACTTGCTGATTTTGGGTTGTCTAGGATAGGTCTAGCAAATCAGCAGAACACATTTGTGATCCCTAACCTTGCCGGCACACATGGCTCTTATGATCCATAATATGAAAAAACAGGTTTCTTAACGAAAGAATCAGATATCTTTTCCTTTGGTGTGGTTTTTTGTTTGAGGTTCTGTGTGTAAGGTTAGTGCGTGCTTCCAGTTGTGTGTAAGGTTGGTGCGTGCTTCCAGTTACCATGACGAGCGCCAATTCCTCAATCATTTGCCCCAAACCTGCTACAAAAATGGAGAGCTACGCAATATTATTGATCACAGAATAAGAAAAGATACTAAACGACAAGTGTTGTTCAAGTTTTCAGCCATTGCATATCAATGCTTGGAAGAAACTCGAGAAGACCTACCTACAATTTATGAGCTTGTGTTGCAGCTCAAGGAAGCCATGAAAATTGAAGTAAGTTTGAATACCATTTTTATTAATTTCATCAATATAGATATGTTTTTAAGATGAGGAAAAAAGATTATCTATATAAAATTACACTTGTTAATGACATCTCATTTGTTTTAATTCATTGTTAGTTGCAAGATTAGATCTGTCCAAGATGAACCGGAAGATGAGATCCTCCCAGATGAATAAGAAGATTAGATCCTCCAAGGAACTAAAAGGGATACTTGGAAGATTAAAATCCAAAGTAAAACTTAGGTTTTGTGTTTGCATAAAGAAACAATGAGACCACCATTCTCAATGACGAGTTGGAGATCGGAGTATCAAGTAAAAAGAAAAGATAAGATTAACAATTGTTTTACCATACAATTTATTTATTTTTTATTAGTTTGCTTAATACACTACAAGAAATCTCATCTTTAGTAGTAACAAATTGTTGTTGTCACCGCTAAAGCCTTTTAAGCCCAATCCATGTGATCGTTCAAGGAATAACCTTATCTATTGTTTGGCCTCGAAGAACGAAAGGAAAAAAATAGAAAAATGAAAGAGAAGGGTCGGAGGTGGGTAAAGACGAAAGTCTTGTCGATTTTGTAAAGATAGAAGATGAAAGATATAAACAAATGTTGAGAGAAACAAGGTGGGGGGTTTTTAATTTTTGGAGATTTCTTTTCCCGCTAGCTATTAAGGAGGACATGCTACCTAGAAATTTACAAAACAATGGTTAATTTTAGGACACGTTAAAACGTGTGTTGTAAATCCTTCAAGTTTTATAAGAGATGACATTCTATTGTGAAACACACTTTTGATTATCATAGTGCTTTCTAGTACGGAGAACTGAGCTCGCTTTTTATTAATTAAATTTCAATAAATTATAATTTTATGCAACTTTAATTCTAGTAATTATTTCCGGTTTTAGTTAATAATACATAACCTCCTTTTATTTTAATATTTTGTGCATCCAAGCAATGAACTTTATTACCCCTTCAATGCTAGATTTCGATACTTCTAACCACGACACAATAGTTGCACTTATTGTAAAAGTAGAGCATGTGAAAAGTATACCAATAAAATCTTTCTTTAGTTGAACAATGGACTACTTTGATTACTATGACCAAATAAACCACTTAAACCCCTGTGTTCTTGTTTAATGTTTACATCTTATAATCATATATATTTTGTGTTTGTTTGTTAGGATCGAGACACTTAACACACGACTCTAAACACACACAGCTCACGAAAAACAAGAACACAAGGATGAACATGAGGGATTTAACGTGGTTCGGTCCTTCTCTGACCTACGTCCACCGGTAACTAGGAATTTACATTTCTTGGTGCTAATCTGCACTCTTTCTGTGTTACACTAGATACAAGTTTTACAAATACAGAATAATCTCTTATATAGAGATGGAAATCAGAAGTAGTCAAAAAACACAACTGGGTCTTCATTCAACAATTATGGCTTCACAACTTCACATTGTTCCTGCCATTTTTGACCAGCTTTTCTGTGGATTCACACTCAACATTTCTGTGGATTCACACTCAACATTTCTGTGGATTCATACTCAACAATCTCCCACTTGAAGCCACGGAACAATCTTCACCTGTGCTTCAACTGTGCATCTGTATTTGATCTTAACTCCTTCCTAGTTACCCTGGCCTTCTCTTCAATTAACCTGAAGGCCAGTTGAAGCTTTCGTTAGCTCCAACACATCAGTCATGGCTAAGTCTGCCACTGACCTGTTCTCTGTCTCCATCGGCTCCCACTGAAATGAACTGCCCGATCCTGGAACATCCTGAGAACAAACGACACTCTCCATGTGAAGCAGATAATCTGGAGAGACTTTTACAGATGGAATACTGGTTCTCTTAACCCACTGTGTTCTGGGTATTCTAGCTGAAGCACAGCCCTTGCTCCCACTGCTATGAATGCCCTTGACTGGTTTTTCTAAACCGTTCCAAACACGTTCAACCTGAATCTGACATGTGACTCTGGGTTTGCCATCTGCAAAGCAAACCTTCTTCTGTCCACGAGACTCTATGAACCGGATTTTGTTTTTCTTCTGAACTGGGACGGTTACTCCCTCAGACGGTAAACTGACCATATATAATGAACCCCTCTTATGTCCACGAGCTATCACAAGATTTCCTTTGACAACCTTCCATTGCCCATTCCTGAACTTAACCTCGTGTCCCTGTTCATCCAACTGCCCAACAGAAATCAATTGTTTCTTCAGACTTGGAATTACCCGGACATCCTTCAAAGTCCATGGACCAACTGGAGTCTTCAAATCTAAATCACCTATGCTCGTCACATCAAGAACTTCATAGTTCGCCAGTCTTACCTTACCAAAATCTCATTCTTTCAGATTCTGCAGTGCTTCACGGCTGTGGGTAGCGTGAAATGAAGCACCCGAATCCATAACCCAGGAATCCACATTGCTCTCCACACTACAGATCAAAACATCATCATCTGAATGGTCTACTGCAACGTTAACTTCTTTCTTGTCTTTTGGACATTGATTCCTGAAATGTCCAACCTCTTTATAGTTCCAACAAGTCACATCATTTCGAGTCCTCGACTGACTCCTTCTCCTGTTCCCGCTTCCACTACCTCTGTTATTTCTTCTACCTCTGACCGCATTTAATTGTTCACTTGATGATTCCCCGGAATTTCTTCGTCTGACGTCTTCGCCTATAATTAAATCCCGAATTCCCTCAAAAGTGAGCTCTTTCGATCCTGCGGAACTAGTAACGGCTGTAACTGTTCCGGACCAACTGTCAGGTAATGATGATAACAGTAGTAAAGCTTGAACTTCGTCCTCAAATTTTATTCCCACTGACCCAAGTCTGGATAAAATCGAGTTCAAATTGTTGATGTGTACTGTAACTGAACTTCCTTCCCTCATCCTCGTGTTGACTAGTTCCCGAATCAGGAAGACTTTATTTGCTGCCGACGGCTTCTCGTACATATTAGACAATGCCTCCATTATTTCCTTTGCTGAGGTCTCCTTCAAAATGTTGAAGGCAACATCCTTTGACAAAGTCAGTCTAATAAATGCCTTGGCCTTCTTATCCAAAGTCTCCCAGTTTGCTTGTGTGATCGCCTCCGGTTTTTCACCTAAAACTGCGTCCAAGTCTTTCTGTACGAGCAAATCTTCAATTTGCATCTTCCACCAACCAAAATCTTTCCCATCAAACTTTTCAATCTGAAGCTTACTGCTTTCTGCCATTTTCTGAAAGAACAATGACCTATCTTGCAATTTTCTGGAAATTCAGGGGCCAAATTGCAAATTTTCAAATCTGCTACAGTGTTGCTACAGTGCCTGCTACAGTGTCTGCTGACATCACTGCTGACGTCGTGCTACAGTGTTGCTACAGTGCCTGCTATATTTTGTGTTTGTTTGTTAGGATCGAGACACTTAACACACGACTCTAAACACACACAGCTCACGAAAAACAAGAACACAAGGATGAACATGAGGGATTTAACGTGGTTCGGTCCTTCTCTGACCTACGTCCACCGGTAACTAGGAATTTACATTTCTTGGTGCTAATCTGCACTCTTTCTGTGTTACACTAGATACAAGTTTTACAAATACAGAATAATCTCTTATATAGAGATGGAAATCAGAAGTAGTCAAAAAACACAACTGGGTCTTCATTCAACAATTGTGGCTTCACAACTTCACATTGTTCCTGCCATTTTTGACCAGCTTTTCTGTGGATTCACACTCAACATTTCTGTGGATTCACACTCAACATTTCTGTGGATTCATACTCAACATTGTTGACTTGCTTCTTAATCCCAACAGCTTTGTCCATCAGTATTATAGTCATTTCATTGAGTTTCAGACACGTCATGTTTCCACATGCTACATAGTTCTTATTAGATAAAATAGATTTGAATAATGAAGAAAAAATAAACAGAATTTGTACATTAAGACAGGAAAATAAAAAAAAAATAAAAAAACGTTATAAACTAAAGATAAAGATGAAAAAAAACATCGATGTCACTGATCATAAAATAGTCCAACAACATAAAACAAAATCAACAAGGGGAATATCAAGCACGGAGTTCCATGACGTCTGTTTAGGATATCTACCACACCTTATTCCAATGCCCTCAAAGGTGTAACTTATCAAAGGATCTCATCTTCCAACTGACAATGAATTAAAAAGAACAAATTAATGATGGGTCAGTGAGTTATGTATTTATATTTAGATAATCCTTATCCCTCTAAAAATATGTCCATATTCATGAATTTGATGAAAAACCAATTAATACTAAAACTTTGATAATAGGGAAGTTCATACTTGTATTTTCATGGCCTCCTTTAGTTGGAATGCAACCTCACCAATTGTAGGTCGTTCTTCCCGAGTTTCTTGCAAGCATTGATAAGCAACAGCTGAAAACTTGAGCAATGTTCTTGGGTTGATGTCTTCCCTTATTCTTGGATCAATAATCTTGTTTATCTCTCCATTTTTGTAGCAGGTTCTGGCCAAATGGGGAAGGAATCGCCGCTCATCATGGTAATTTACAACACAAGCCAACCTTCCACACAAAACTTCAAACAAAACTACTCCAAATGAGTAGACATCTGATTCTTTTGTTAATAAACCTGTTCTTTCATATTGTGGGTCATAATAACCAGGCGTGCCAGCAGGGTTAGTGATCACAAAGGTGTTTTGTTGATTTGTTAGACTTATTGTAGCGAGCCCAAAATCCGCAAGTTTTGCATTCCAATTGTCGTCTAACAAAATATTCGCGCTTTTTATATCACGATGTATTATTCTATGTTTTTCTGCCACGTGATTATGAAGATAATCCAATGCAGAAGCAACGTCAATGCATATATTGAGGAGTTGTGGCCATGAAAGTCCAGCGGAAGGGTTATGTAAATGTGTGTCAAGGCTTCCATGGATTGCGTATTCATAAACGAGGATCATCTCGTCATTAATATCACAAAACCCTATAAGGGTAACAATGTTCTCGTGCTGATACTGTGAAAGCATTTTCAGCTCAGTCTGGAACCCCTTGTTACCTTCACCCCTAGTGACATGTAGCCGTTTTACAGCAACTGGCTTGTTTACATGATACCCCCAGGTGAGGATTCCCTTATAGACACTTCCGTATCCACCCCTCCCGATGAAGTTTCTTTTGTTGAAATCTTCGGTACAATTTTGTATGGCTTGGAGGGGGATTTCATGGTGGTTTGGCTGCTCCATCTGAGATATGAGACATGACCTTGACTATTTAATATTGAACTAATCTGTATCAAAATACCTATATAACCAATTTCAGAAACTAACCTCGGGATGAAACCTCAGGTCTAGAGGCAGAGGACTTCTTATGGATCTGCGTAATATATGGTTGACATCCCTAACAATGTCTTGAATAATCTCCGTCTCTAGCCTAAGACTTAATTTAGTAAGAATCACAAAACACAATCCAGAAAACTAACATGAGAAATTAAATATCCTCCTACTTTTTTTCTTACATATGCTCCTACCCATTTGAAATGATGACAAGTGTATTAAATTAATGATAATCTTATCCGAATATGACACATGTCACCATTTTACATGGGTAGGAAGATAAGTAGGAAGGAAAGGTAGGAAGATATTTAATTTCTCAACTAAGATACCAGTTTTGCAGGTTTAATTTATGATAAATTAAATTACCACCTACCTTTTATACCTACAATTATTTCTACCCACTAAAATTATGATAAATCACCATTCAATTTAATTTTATTTGATATATTCCTGATATAGCTAGCTTTAGTGAGTTAGTTAAGAAAATATGGAATGATGACACTTGTCATAATTTTATTGGGTAGTACATTTTTAGGCATTACAAGTAGGAAACAATTTAATTTCTCTTAATTTATTGAACCAGCCAAATAAAAATTAAATCATATAAGCTACTTGTTTAATTTAGTTTTTCACATAATATTCTCACTTCTAACAATTGATTATCTAATGTTCAAGGTCATAATGTTTATGTATTATAAGATAAGAGCCATCAAAAACCATCATCCGAGTGGCTAGAGGTAGAGGACAGTGGAGAGAACTCTCTCGGGTCACCAAATAGCAAACCTTTTGAAATTTTGTTTTTAAAAGAAAGTGTATCTATCGATCTATTTGTGATCTAATTTATAAGATCACATAACAAACCAATTGAAATACATAGGGAGAAGATTAATTACACTAAAAATATATCTATTTAAAGATGTTGAACAAAACAAACCTATTGAAATACATAGGGAGAACATTATATATATTGGCATTTCACGTGATAAGCATATATACAAAATGATTAAATGAACGTGTATGGAAATATGGGTAAAGATGTGGTTACCTGCCGCCCTTTACGTGCAGCCCTCTTAAATCAGCTACTTCTTTAAGTGCTTTATTCCATTGCTCAATCTTTTCAGCCAATTGACTTTTTTTATTTGCATCTGTCTCGCCCTCCATCTCCTGTCTATACCTGGCCATGGCATCTCCGAAGCTACCTTGTTGCTCCCTCACATCGCTGGGCTCAACATAATAATAGATGGGGAGAACAGTATGGTTTGATGTCGAGCATTGCTCCAGGATCAGCACCAATTCCTCAAGGCACCATCTGGAATTAGCGTAATTCTCCGACAACAAGATAAGAGAAACCCTATATGTTTTAGTCAGAGTCTCTGATTCTAGTTTCAATCTTGCCCCTATCTGAAACTGTTTATTATCAAAACGGGTAGTGATTTTAGCAGCCCAAAGGGCCTTATAAAGGTGATCAGGGAAACTATAACGACTATCAGTACCATTAAAGGTTAAAAGTACGTCATACATATGTCCATCAACCGGTGAAGAAGATGATGATCCGCCTTCAGTATCAGAGAGAATAACCATTATGAGTTGGCTGAAGGTATCAATGATTTGAGAATGGATCTACAATCAGATTAAGAGTAATGGATGCACAAGTAGTGGTTTGTATAAAGAAAGTCCAAGTCAACAACAACTTTTGATAAATAATACATATCTAGTTTTTGAATTTTCCTAGAAACTTACGAGTTGGGATTTTAGAAATCAAAATACTACTAAATTACCAGGAAATTGAAAGGCCCAGTCATGGACGAGTTTAGACTTCAGCCTGTGCAGTCAAAGCACAGGGCCCAAAAAGATTAAGGGGCCCAAGTTTTCTTCATAAGCAGCATAATATATTAATATCATATTACCACACCTTTGTCATGTATGTTTTTCTCAAATATCTTCAATTTCGACAAAGCACGTTCCCTTTTGTTTTTCGGCCCTTATATGGTTTGAGTCTTATCATCATCTGAAAATGAATATGGTTTATTTGGTGCTTACTTGAATATTGTTTAGACTTTAGATGTACTAATAAATTAGTTTCAAATTATGGATATGTGGCTTTGTGTATATGGTTTCCAAGAAAATCAAAGAGCAAGTGAAAGTGAGGTACTAACGTCTTTTCATGATCTATGGTGGAATTTGTAATTTGGATTCTAAATTTCTCACATCGATTTTTTAATGAATTTGTATCGTAACTCATCTGGTCCATTGGGCATTTAGATTAACTTGGCAATGGGACTAGATTGGCTTGTATCTGGTAGTTAACTCATTTGGAAACCAAACTTGTTAATACTTACTGGTTAACATAGATAATGGTTAATGGATACTATGAAACTTGAGTAACTGTCTCAACCCAGGGTAGAATGATAACAATTTTCAAGTACAAGGAAGGTTTTTTTAGGTCTACTGGAAATAAAAACATTTGGTATCATTATACGTTAATGACTTATAAAGGTAATAAATTTTATCTCGTATATTTACATATATGGCTATTAAGCTTGTTTGCCCTCATTATGATCGGTTATTAAAGGTTTAGTGGTCATATGCACACAGGCCCGGTCCAGATGGTAGGCAACCTCCAACGGCCCACTTCTCCAGGGGGACCAAAATTTTTAGGCTATGTAGTGTGTGCGTGTATATAAGGTTCATTTGTTTAAACTAATTATTGTGTTATTGTATGAGTAAATATAGGCCAATCATTTCAAAAGGGTAATATGTAATCTTATATTTAATTAATTATGGTAAATATATAAATCAATTAATATCTCTTTAATTTAGGGATATCAGTTTTAAAACCCAATTTCTAGTCCGCCTCTTCCCTCCTCTCTTATATTCATCGACTCCAGCAGATTCAAGGATGGCATCGTAACCTGCGGATCACGTCCCCGTGGCGTCGTGCCAGTCCGCCTCGTCTCCAACTGCCAAATCCCAAAAATAGTGAGAGAGATTGAGATCTCCAGTCCGGCGTGATTGGTTGAGAATCTCTCTCACGCCACCCATCGCCACCGACAAGGCCGCCGCCCATGAGATGGGTAAACTTTCGGTCATCATCTACATCACGGTAGCTTTGCTCCTCCTCCTTCTCATATCGCATTCCCCCAATAAATCCAATCACCGGAACAACCATCGCCGCCACCGTCGACTAAAGCTCCGCTCCAACTTCTCTTTCACCCCTACCATCGCAACCACAACGGACCATCATGTTTCCTTCGACCCTTTGGTAGCCGACATTGAGCGCAAAAGAGAGGACAAATTGTGGGAGAAGAGTCACTTCTTTGGCGACCATCATCATGAAGCAGAAACCGAACCTGAAGCAGATGATGCTCCGGGAATGGAATCACAACCGGAATGGGTTTTATCAATGATATGCTCATTCCATTTGAACAATTGGAGTCTCAATTTCTGGAATTTGTGAAGAATCAGCAAGTAGTTATGGTTGATAGACTTGAGTGCTTTCTACTATCATTTTGTATTTGGATATTCCCCTTACATCTCAATCTGGGTATGAATTCACAGGTAAGTTGTTGTGAAATACGAAGGATCCGAATAGACTTAAATAGTATTAGCTCAATGCAGAATGGGATCAAAAATTATCAAAGCGTAATAATCACAACGAAATACGAATAAAATAAATAGAATAGAGACACAGGAATTTACGTGGAAACCCAAATCGGGAAAAAACCACGGGCGGAGGAAGCCGAGAAACAATTCACTATAATTTGCAGTGTTTACAGGGATTATGAAAGAGATTACAAATAGAGTGAGAGGGCTAAAATATATGGTGGTGTATCAGTGTATATATATATATATATATATATATATATATATATATATAATGTTTTACTATATATATATATTTTGATTGTTGGGTTATTCGTGGGTTAAATCTCTCTGGCTATTTATAGCCAAAGAGGAGAATACAAATGAAAGAAGAAAACAAAAATGCAGTCTAAGACAAAATTGCTGCGCCTACAATCTTCAAATTCATATTGCATATTACTATACACATATAATAATGTCTGCGCCTCCATTCCGTCCAATTTCATTTTCAATTTCATATTAGATTACTATTCATAGTCAAACTATGAATAGTAAATGATAAGTTACGGAAATAACCCCTGAACTATTTGCCACTTGCTAATTTTGGAGGCAACTTTTCCACAATCTCCACCTTGACATCAAAATTAAGCAAGTCATGCTTTACGATTAGTCAAAACCTTTAGCTCATCAAACTCTAAAACTTCCATAAAAAACTGCAATTTTGTATAGAGAAAAATTGTTTCCGAAAAAATAAATAATACTTCCTCCACCACGAGCCTTCAGGCTCAACTGCGATCAGAAACACCCACCATGTCCAAACATAATTTGAACTTGGCTATAGGAAGACTTTTAGTGAACATATCAGCGGGATTATAATCTGTATGAATCTTGTCCACAACACAATCACATTTTTCAATGATATCCCGCACAAAATGATAACGAATATCAATATGCTTTGTTCGGTCATGAAACATTTGATCTTTACTCAAGAAGATAGCACTCTGGTTGTCACAGAAAACTGTGGTCACCTTTATTCTATCATCGAGTTCTCCGAATAACCCCTTCAACCAGATATCTTCCTTAACTGCTTCTGTAATCGCCATGTACTCTGCCTCGGTAGAAGACAGGGCAACTGTAGACTGTAACTGGGCTTTCCAACTAACAGCACAACCATTTAGTGTAAACACATACCCTGTAATTGATCTTCGTTTATCCAAATCTTTTCCATAATCTGAATCAACATATCCGAACACCCCAGTGTTAGATTTGCCAAAACGTAAACACATGGAAGACGTACCTCGTAAATAACGAAAAATCCACTGTACTGCTTTCCAGTGTTCTTTCCCCGGGTTCGCCATGTATCTACTAACCATGCTAACAGCATAAGCCAAATCAGGGCGTGTGCAGATCATAGCATACATTAAAGATCCAACACACTAGAGTATGGAACACGTGCCATGTAAGCCATATCAGTCTCATTAGTAGGACTCAAAGCGGATGATAGCTTGAAATGAGCTGCAAAAGGTGTGTTGACAGACTTTGCTTCGTGCATATTGAAGCGTCTTAGGACTTTCTCAATATAACTTTTCTGAGAAAGATGCAAGATCCTAGACTTCCTGTCACGAATAATTTCCATACCTAAAATCTTTTTGGCAGCTCCTAAGTCCTTCATTTCAAATTCAGCTTTCAACTGGTCTTTTAACTTCTGAATCTCCTTCATATCTTTTGCTGCAATCAACATGTCATCCACGTACAAGAGTAAGTAGATCTTTGAACCATTGTCACCTTTCTTGAAATAAACGCAGCTATCATAGGTGCACCTGCTGAATTTGTGACTGGTCATGAAAGAATCGAACCTCTTGTACCATTGTCTAGGAGACTGCTTGAGGCCATAAAGAGATTTGTTCAACTTGCATACGTAGTTCTCCTTTCCAGGAACTACAAAACCTTCAGGTTGTTGCATAAAAATCTCTTCCTCAAGCTCACCATTTAGGAAAGCTGTAGTGACATCAAGTTGTTCTAACTCAAAATCGTTAGAAGCAACCAACCCCAACAATACACAAATGGAAGTATGTTTGACAACTGGGGAATAAATGTCAGTGTAATCAATACCAGGAATCTGACTGTAGCCTTTAGCTACTAACCGAGCTTTGTATCTTGGTTTATCATTTGGGTTGACAGGTTCCTTGAGCTTATAGACCCACTTGCATTTAACTGGTCTCTTCCTTTTCGGAATAGGAACTAAATTCCAAGTACTGTTTCGCTGCAAGGATTCCATCTCATTTTGCATAGCGAGCATCCAATCATTTGAGTCTTCAGATTTGATAGCCTCGTCATAATTCGCAGGCTCCGTTGCGTACTCAATATTATCAGCAACAATAAAAGTATAGGCAACCAAATCAGATTCAGCATACCTCTTCGGAGGAATAATCTGTCTTCTCGGTCTATCTCTTGCAATGCTTGGAGTAGTAGCTTGTGGTTGTGAAGGTGTTGAATCTTCACCAACAACATGCTCATCCGACGAAGAAGAATCTTGATGCTGATTTGTACTCTGATTAGTGGTAGGTGAAGTAGGAAGCTCCACCTCCATTTGAGCATACTCTTTATTTGCTTCGGATGATACATCTGATGCATCTGTTCTTTTAGAAGAGTCAACAACTGGTTGAATCATAGCAGACTCATCAAAAGTAACATCTCTTGAGATGATAATTTTCTTCAAATCAAAGCTCCATAACTTGTAACCCTTTACACCTTGATTGTACCCAAGAAAAACGCATTTGATTGCTCTTGGTTCTAGCTTCCCATTGTCAACTCGTGCATACGCTGGACATCCGAATGGTTTTAAATCTGAATAATTGGCAGGTTTACCGGACCATAACTTAAACGGAGTTTTCTTCTCGATTGCTCGTGACGGTGATCGGTTGATAACATAGCAAGCAGTCGAAGCAGCCTCCGCCCAAAAAGACTTTGGCAATTTGGAATTAGAAAGCATACACCGGACCTTCTCCATAATGGTGCGATTCATCCTTTCAGCTACACCATTTTGTTGAGGTGAATGGACTACTGTGCGATGTCGAGTAATGCCTTCCTTTTGACAATAGACATTAAACTCTTCTGAGCAAAACTCAAGTCCATTATCCGTACGAAGATACTTTACCACCAGACCTGATTGCTTTTCAACCTGAACTTTCCAATTTCTGAAGGTATAGAAAACGTCTCCTTTATGTTTTAAGAAGAAAGACCACACCTTCCTGGAGAAATCATCAATAATAGTGAGCATATAAATAGCTCCACCTTTTGAAGCAACTCGAGCCGGTCCCCACAAATCCGAGTGAACATAATCAAGTGGTCCTTTCGTTGTATGGATGCCACTTGCAAACCTCACTCGTTTTGCCTTGCCATATACACAGTCTTCACAGAAATCCAAATCAACAATCTTTTGTTGACCAAGTAAACCTCTTCGACTCAATTCTGACATGCCTTGAAAACTCATATGGCCGAGTCGAAGGTGCCAAAGACGGGACTGATCTGGATCAGAAAGAGACTTTGAAACAACAGCAGCATCACTCGAAATTGTTTGCCCGTCAAGAAAGTAAAGATCTGAGGTTTTTCGTTTGGCTCTCAGTTTGTCGGAGCCGTCTTTGAATACCCTGAGAACTCCACCTTTACCAGCAAACTCGTATCCCCTTTTGTCAAAGGAAAATGAGAGATAACAAGTTTCTTCTGAGGTCAGGAACATATCTAACATCCCCCATGGTTTGAATAACTCCGTCAAACATACGGATCCTGACTGAACCATGTCCAAGAACTGGACATGTAGTATTGTTACCCATCAACACATAGCCCTGGTTAACCTTTTCAAATGTGTAAAACCAACTTTTGTTGTGACACATATGAAAAGTACAACCAGAGTCGAGTATCCAATCACCAGTGGAATCCAGTTTATCTGAATAAACTGTCAAAAGTTCTCCAATACCTTCCACCTCAGCTACATCGGCTTCACCCGAAGTGCTAGCTTGTTTACCATTTGCTGCCGTCTTCTCTTTTTCTTTATTCTTCAAAATTGAAGCATTCTTCAAGCACATGTCCCTTCTTGTGACAATAGTTGCAAAACTTTCGTTTGCTTTTTGATTTGGATCTGGTTCTGTTGGAAGATTGAGAAGTTCTACTTCTCTCTGTTGTTCTTCCTCTGGCATTCAAACCTTCGGCTTTAGCATCACTTGAACCACCACCAGTAATATGCTTCATCTTCTCTTTGGAATCCAAAGCTGTATAGACTTCATCTAAAACTAAAGTGTCACGGCTATAGATAATAGTATCACGAAAATGGCTATAGGATTCTGGCAACGACGACAGTAAGAATAAAGCCAAGTCTTCATCTTCATACTGAACATCCATATTCTCTAAGTTATTTACTAACTCTTTAAATGTGGATATATGTTCAGTTAAAGAGCCTCCTTCAATCATCTTGAGATTGAACAACCGTTGCTTCAAATGCAACTTGTTTGGTAAGCTCTTGGTCATCAACAGTTGCTCCAACTTTAGCCATAAAGAAGCCGCTGACGTTTCTTTTAGAACATCTTGCAAAACATCGTTTGACAAGTGCAAACGAATCTGGGATAAAGCCTTCAGATCTTTCATCTCCTTTTCTTCTTCGGTCCATGTATCGGGCATCTTATTGAAACCCAAAAGCGCCTTGTGTAAATCCATCTGAATGAGAATGTCTCTCATCTTTACTTGCCACAACGGAAATCGTGTGTTACGATCCAGTAGTGGAATATCGTATTTTACCGAAGACATGATTAATTTCTTGATAAAATTATCCCAATGAGCTAATATTACAACCCGGATGCTCTGATACCAATTGTTGTGAAA